GCACAATTCTGATAAAGTAAAAAAAAAAGTTGCAATCAATCAATTCTCTGCGACAAAGCAGAATAATTGACATCAACGAGTACTTGTGCTTTATCCCAAAAAGATGTGCACGTATGAGTGTGCATTATAAATCAGTGAGGACATCGTTGGTAATATGATACAACATGATTACATATCATGAAGTTTTAGTTAGAGTATCGACAGCGTGGTGTCTCTTGGGACAAAGAGGTTATGCATTAGTTTATTCGTATGTAATCGAAATTGGGTTTTCATAAGAATCATGTATGACGTAGTGGATTGAGATTTGATATTTATTTCTTACATTTATGACACTGCTAATAAAAACATATAAAATTGCTTCAAATGTTCATTACAATTAATAAGCGACGACAGCAAAGAAAATATGCTAAATTGTGTCATCGCGACACTCACTAATAATCATTTTACTACAGTGTAAACATGGCATTTAGAATTCGTGTTTAATAATGTGAAAATAGTTATGTTGTACAATTGATACTATGCTATCATGTTTAAGTCAATAATGCTCTATGTGTAACATCACATCAATCATGTCACTACAACAGATCTCCAAACAATTAACCCTGAACCGAACACTGATTGATTGGTTACAGTGAGATGACATTTTCTTGTCTGAGATTGGCTTTAACGTAAGAAGCTTTAACAGGGGTTTATACTACAGAGATGTAATCATGGAACAAATAAATGAGATTTAAAATGAATGAGAAACTTATCCAAGTATGTACTCACAGATGCATCCTAGTTCATCGAAATGTTCGATAACAACTTAACCTACATTAAAGTGATAAAGCATAGCAGTTATGACACTCATAGGACATGCTTCAAATGAGAATCCAAGGAATTTCTCTAAAAGAAACTCACTTACCATGGAGGTGTAGTGCTAACTTTTGTGACAGTGACAATGCAAATATCAACGCCATACCATTGGCTATGCATATTAACTACATAGATTAATGTGTTTGTACTCAGACATCAACCAGGAACCCAACCCAGTTAAAAGTTTCTTTCTAAAAATACAGTACCATGGTTTTTCAGTCTGCGCCAGACCAGCATTCTCACACATCGTCGTTGCGAAAGAAACAGTTCCAGTAAAGCAAACCATTTGAATTGTCTCCGTTGATGGGCGCCCGTCATATAAAAGCTTTTGGTTGGATTGACACGATACACTAGAAATACGTGAATATGCTAAACATGCTGACAAGTATGTTGAATTAGACACACTATAAATATGTATAAAGCGATTGAATGTAATGTCTCACTTGCGTCGTCAGTATACTAGGATCATTCAATTTAACATAAATCCGATTTTTAATTTAATTTAATAATATTTCTATGATAAACAGTTGAATAATGTTTCTCAGTACTAATAATTACATTTGCATCTTCAGTGTACAGCTTATGACATCACTGAACAATACAAAGCTGAAACTATTCATGTGAAACCATGGCAAGTGCCCACATGATCCTATGATTATTGGTGTGTTCGTAACTTTTCCAGCTAGTGGTCGTTACGATGATGTCACTAATCAATCATCAATACTTTTCGCAACCCATAAAAACAATTTAAACCATGCTAAACATAATTCCATAAAAAAATCTGTTGACAATAAGTCCTGCAAACCGTATTAGAAAAATGTACTCTCAAAGTAACAGAGAATCACTTCCTCTGAATAAATTAGTGAATATAATATTCTATTCACACGTGGCGACAGTTTCCAGAGCCGAAAGTAAAAAATACAACCAACATCCATATTAGCATACAAATTAGCATATCGTCACGTGAACCCGACGACGATCATGTACCCACACATTTATTGTTTCACTCAATGATTTGTGTTGTGTGGAGTTTATACCATTCACTGAATCACTCATAGAGATTTGTAGTATTGTTTCTGTCATACTGTTGTATTGATATCATCGTGGTAACCTTTTTTCGATCATATCAAAGACACCTTATGAACAATATACCAAAGTACCATGACATGCCAGGCACCGATCATATGATCTATTCACCGTTTTCTTCTTCATTTAAATAGTGAGTTAACGGTAAGTAGAACAATTATCACTATAATAATAGTCTTCTGAGTAGAAAAGATATAGATACATATATGGAATGGTCATTGTGCCGATATGACGTTGCTTGAATAGTATTGCGTGTTGTCAGTTTCCTGTGTTGCTTTCGATCTTGTCTTTGTTATTAGGTTATTAGTGTGAATGCTCAAGTGTCGTGTCGACGTACACTGTGATATTCACTGCTATATCTGTTTCTGTTAGTGTAAAAAGTATAACGGCCACAGTGTTCAATGGAGACATCACGTACACATGTAAACAAGTACACATGTAAACGATAATTGCGTACACTGCGGGCATATACGCTTCTTACCATGTATTATTATATCCCGGGGAAAAATACATAGAACTTGCCTAATTGGGACCTGCCCTTGAAATAGGTCTTGTTTTTTTGGTTTTTGAGTAAAAAAGAATCGTTCTTATTTTTGGTCAAAATAGGTATAAATAACCTGAATATTGTGTTAATAATATGCTTTTATGTAAGTGTCAGGGGTGTTTCTATGGTCAAAATACATATTTTAATAAATCAATATACAACGCAACTGGAGATGCTTTTCTAATAGAGCAAATACGGTAACTGTTTTATTTGGAATAAACAGTGATGACAGAAATGGTACTTTGGTATAAATATGGGTATAGATTTTGCCACTATCCACACTTTTGAGCACTCTATGTAGCAACTGCACCCCCGTGTTATATCCGCTCTAAAGTTGTGCTGTGTATTATTGCGTTCGGGTATAAGTATGGTTATTACATACTTAGTAGATGGTAGATTCAGCAGGCTGGGAGAATAAGCATATAGATCAGTGAGACACTATAGTTGTTTATCAAATCATCTTTCATGGATGAAGAGCGTTACATAATACGCTCACATGTATCATTAACTGCTCCGTATTTCCTTTTTTGTAGCATGACTGACAAGATGATTAAACATCGCCTTTTCGTTGTCAAGATTGCACTACTGATGCTCGTTTTGTTATTAGTGGTGTCTGCATTATCGTTTCCACTTCCGTTTTCAAACCTTAATTTCATACGCCGATCGACCAATGGTGATTTAAGACGGCATGGTACTGAACAGAATGGAAAGGACACCCAGAAAACTGGAATTGAGCAGTTTCCTAATTGTGGATACTGTCGACTGCCAGTCTGCTCTATGACGTCATGTAGCGAATACTGTGCAAAGTATTGTAGATAGGTCGTATACTTCAATCTGATAGAACAGGAAATTAAAAGGCAATGACATAACAATGGTGATTCTTTTCAAACGATTCAACTGAACATTGAAGGTAATATAATTGCACGTTGAGCATGCAACTGTAACAACACTCAGGTTATTTCAACCAAAAGTCGTAAATGCTTTTTTGATCAATAATACTATTCGTCAATGGTCTAATGTAGATTAACTTACATGCTAGAACGACCTAGATGAAATGAAGCGAAAACGGTTGTTATGGTTACAAATTTGGTGTTATTGTATATGGTAATCTGAAGACCACGGTATCACAATAAAAAGTTAATTAACACTAACTTAATAATTGTTTTAAAATGAAACACCTGCTTAGAGAATCGGAAATAGTGTCAAATGGTGTAAATATTTGTTTCATCAAAATATCTGTATTATTATTACCGCACGATGCAACAAAGTGTATTATTGCATTAAGTGTAAGTAACAATCATATTAAACCCAAATAGAAACACGTGAAGACGTCATCAAATTCTAGAATATGCCGTGATTTATATCTGCTATAAATGAAAATACGTAATAATAATAATGCCTGCATCATGTGACCATATATTCACTTTGAGTTGCGGGCAGCAGCATATTTTGTCGTTGTTTAACGTCCATATTCAGCTTGAACTTCGATTATCAGTTATCATAATTTATTTTGATCACTCGGTAAGCTTGTTTGTTTCAACGTTTGGTCTTAGACGGGGGGGGGGGCGATTTTGTGAAATTATTATTGTTGCTGAAACAATGCGAAGAGATATAAGTTGTGACTGCATATCCTATGTTCCGCTTAGTCCGTTTTATATACAGTACATTAGGTCCTATAACTACAAGTCGAACACAGATTCGTCTATATAAGGCACACGACGTAGCGATGACGCAATTTCATTCGGCGGCGTGGTTGGGTCGTCGATCTTTTGACAAGCGACGAATACATCAAAACAACACGCTACAGAGTACTCACAAGTCTGTCGATTTATTTCTTCAAAAACAATACTCTCTCCAGGTCTTTACAGTTCTCGCACTACGTCTAAATACCCATAAAACAATTTTCTGTTTCCTAACTTGCACAGCACAGTCGATATCTAAGCGGCCATCTTGTACACAAACCTGAACCCCTAAGTTAGTGAAAATAAACACGACCCGGCAGCTACGCTCTGAGGTTCGATATGGCTTGTCGTTCAACACTAAATTCAAGCGAGGTCAAACTAAATTAAAGTTCTATATACGATTTTGGCGTCTACATACCAGCCCCTAAATTGACGAATAGCGTGCTAAAGTTCGGCAATTTCCAACGATATCATCTTATAAAACGACGGCAAAACATATTAAATCGAATACAAACAATTTGAAACACGATAAATTCGAAACATGAGAATTACACACTCAAATACGAGAAAACTCAAATTACAGAACAAATTCAAATATCGAGAAAGACACAAATTACAGTCTGAGTACGAAAATTCGAGAAATTGAATCTTCATCCGGCATCCAATTTTACCTCTTCTCGAGTCCTCCGTTCCTTAAACAAAGTTACTCTTCCTCCTTTGCACTGCCATTGCCAGTGGCTTTACCACGTTCCTCTTTCATTCCATAACACCAATGCTGAACACAGTGACTTAGATTTTTCACTGCTTGAGAACGTTGTTATCACTGCAACTTCTTACAGCGGGTTTGTCTGTTCTGCTTCCAGGATGACACAGAGTTTGTCATATGGTCTCTCTAATTCGTTGTGACCAGTCTTCAACAAAACTCGTCTAACCAATCCCTTCTTGTCAGGCATAACCTTGATGATTCTGCCCAGTGGCCATGCACATCTAGGAGTTGTTTCTTCTCTGATCAGTACTATGTCACCAACCGTTAAGTTTGGCTTTGACTTCAACCATTTCTGGCGCTTTTGCAGGGATGACAAGTATTCCTTAACCCAACGCTTCCAAAACATATCCGACATGTATTGCACTTGACGCCATCTTTTTCTAGCATACAAATCAGTTGTCTCTGATAGACAGGGAGATAGTGATATCCCTTTCATCATAAGCAGTATATTTGGAGTCAGTGGCCCATCGTCCTTTGCATCGTCTGATGGCTTTGTGATTGGTCTGCTATTAATGATGTGTTCAACCTCACAAAGTAGAGTTTGCAGATTCTCATCATCTAACTGTTGTTGCTTGGTGATGCCTTGTAGTATCTGCCTAATCGTTCGTATTTGTCGCTCCCAGACACCACCAAAATGTGATCCAGCTGGAGGGTTGAATTTCCAGTCTATCCCTTTTCTAAGCAAGAAGCCCTGGATCTGGCTCTGGTTCCAATTTCCTATTTCCTCCTTCAACTCTCTATTGGCACCGACAAAGTTGGTACCATTATCGGATAGCATTTCTCTTACTGGCCCTCTTCTAGCAATAAATCTTCTCAAGGCATTTATATAAGAACTTGTATCCAACGAGTCAGCTTTCTCAATGTGAACAGCTCTTATAGCCAAGCATGTGAAAATCACACCGTATCTTTTTACTATGCTCCTCCTCTGCTTGATGAGTATTGGGCCAAAGTAATCCACACCTACTCTGGTAAATGGAGGTTCACCAGTTTTCAGACGAGCTGCAGGCAGGTCTGCCATCTTCTGTTCTGTCACCTTTGCTCTATGGCGTTTGCAAATTACACACTTGTGTATCATTCTTCTAGCTGCTGAATTGGCATGTACAATCCAATATCGTTCTCTCAACTTTGAAAGTATATACGCTCTTCCAAAATGACCTCCATCTTCATGAATTTCACAAAGGACTAGTTCTGAAACATGGCTTCCCTTTGGTAAGATCAAAGGAGGTTTTGCTTCATCTGACAGCATAGCGTTACCCAGTCTTCCTCCAACTCGCACTAAATTGTCACTTCCCAAGAATGGATCTAATTTATAGATAGAACTGCTACGTTTCACTGTCTTGCCTTTAATTTGTAGACTTGCAATCTCCTCAGGAAATGCTTCCTTTTGTTCAAATTCAATGATGACTCTTTCTGCGATCTGAAGATCTTGTGTTGTCAACATTTTACTGGAAGTTTCTTTCCTCTTAAGGACACGGTTTCTAAGAAACTGTTTAATTTTGATGATCTAAAAAAACCGCCTTTTTCAATTTGAACCAACTTGAATAATGCTCTATTAACTTGGACATTGGATGCTGGGTACCATTCACGGCTACTGCATTGACTACTGACTTTCTTTTCAATTCAGAATCATCTTCTTCCAACTGCAAATCATGAGTATTCATTGGCCACTTGTCTTGTGTTAACCATAAGAATTCTGGTCCTTTAACCATCGTTTATTCCTAAGAAACTTTTCGATAGGCTGACCTCTTGAGCTCTCATCAGCTGGATTATCAGCACCCTTTACATAGAACCATTGTCCCGGTTGTGTTGCTCCTCTAATAACTGCAACACGATTAGCTACATACGTATGAAACCTGGCTGCTTTCAGTATTTATATACCTTAGTACTGTCATACTATCGGTCCAAAAGTATACTTTGTCAATCTTCACATCTAATTCTTTTGTTAATGATCTATTCATTCTAACTGCCACTGTTGCTGCAGCTAGCTCCAAGCGTGGTATGGTAATTTGTTTCAATGGTGTAACTCTAGACTTCCCCATTAGGAAAGGCACAATGCACAAGTCCTTTTGAATTCACCATTCCTTATGTACGACACTGCTCCATATCCACTATCACTGGCATCTGCGAAGTGATGAGCTGAGTCTCTACTGACTCACCAAAGAGCTCCGGCTTCATGCATCTATTGACAGTAAATTCTTTTCCCAGTTTTGGCAAATCCTGCAACCATTTCTTCCACCTTTTCTTATATTGTTCAGGAATCTCTTCATCCCAGTCCATCTTCAGCTTGCATAGTTCTTGCAACATGATCTTAGGTGGTAACATCGCAGGAGCTGCCAATCCCAGTGGATCGTATATGGAACTTATGACCCCTAGGATCCCTCGCCTTGTAGGTAACTTCTCTTTGAAGTTATTTCTAAACCCGAACGTGTCTTCTTTCACATTCCACATCATTCCAAGTGCCCTCTCTACAGGTAGACTATCTTTCCTGAGGTTTAAGTCTTTGACTTCACTAACTCTCTCAGTCCAATGGAATGGATTCTAACACAGAACACTCATTGCTTATCCATTTGGTTAGTCTAAATCCTTCTCTACTGCAGGTTTCTATTAGATTACTCGCTAATGTCTTTCCGTCCTTTACGGTTGATACAGACTTCAACAGGTCATCCACATAAAAGTTCTTCTCTGTTGCGTTTGCTGCACATACTCCTGTTATGCTTCTGTTATCTGCAGCTGTTCTCCTTAAAGCATAATTCGCACAACTAGGCGATGAGGTAGCCCCAAATATGTGCACTTTCATTCTGTATTCTTGTGGAGTTTCATTGATGTCTTCATTTGGCCACCATAAATAGCGCTGGTAGTCTCTGCCCTCTATTGGTACAGTCACTTGTGAAAACATAGCTTGTATGTCTGACATAAGCGCAACAGGCTCTTGTCGAAACCAAGTAAGTACTCCTACTAATGAGTTGGTTAAATCTGGGCCTTGCATTAGCATTTCATTCAATGATGTACCCCTGAATTCTGCTGCACAGTCAAAGACTACACGTAGCCTTTTTTTCTGTGGGTGGCGTACACCATGGTGAGGAAGATACCATATTTTCCCTTTTCTACTTGACAGCTGTTCTGCTGGAACTAGTTCAGCATACCCTTTATCTAGTATACCATCCATGAACTGAGTATACTCCTCTTGGTATTCAGGGTCCTTCACAAACCTTCTTTTCAGGTGTTTCAACCGTTGTTCTATGGCAGGTCTGTTATTAGGTACTACATGGTTTCTATCACGAAATGGCAACGGTAGCTGATAGTGACCTTTAACAAGGTGACATTCTGTTTCCATCATCTTCATAAATTTCTTGTCTTCCACAGAATCTTCTGGTTTGTCATCTATGACTCGTTCGCTGAACTCGTGGTTAAAGAATTCAACTAACTGGCTATCAAATGATGGTTTAGCTTGTATTCTATTCACTTTAGCCGTGATAAACATTTCATCCTTGGTCTCTCCAGCCCCTGTAAGGAATCCATTCACTGCCCACCCTAGAACAGTTCGTACAGCAAATGGACCATCACCTTGACTATTGACAACTTCCCATGGTTCAAAGGCTTTAGGAACATTGTTGCCTATCAGAAGATCTATGCCTGCCTCGATGCTAGGTAGTCGCACATCACGCAAATATGACCAATTCAATATGTCAGCTTGTGACAGTATATCTTTCTTAGACACTGGTATCTCCTTCTGAGTGTAGGTTACTGGGAGTCCGATTGTATTATGTCCATCTAAATCTGAAACTTCTAATCCTCTCAGCATATGAGTGTCCGTTATTTTGTTTCCATTGATAGTACGCATGTTTAATTTGGTTTTTGGTCCGCTAATGTTCAGTTGTTGGCTAATTCTCTCTGTACAGAAAACTGTGTCACTGCCATTGTCAATGAATGCGTATGTTTCTATGCTTATTCCTGTTGCCTTGCACCTTAACTTCACTGGAATTATGATGGGTTTACCAGCAAGGTCTTTATGCCCCATTGCATGACAATCTGCATCTATCATGCCCACCAAGGTTTGTACAGTCTTGGCTTCTGTCTCAACAAAGGGTTTCTCTCTGTGCAATACAGTGGGGTGTTTCAGCTGACACTTGTCGCATGTTAACTTCCTGTTGCAGTCCTTAACTAGATGACTTGCCTTTTTTAGACATCCAAAACACAGTCCTCTGGTCTTTATCAGTTGCACCTTGTCAGTGTATGGCTTGCTAGCATAGATTCTGCATCTGTCTAATTCATGATTCATTTTCGAACAACAATAGCACTGTTGATCCTTGGGTCTTGCTTCAGATGTGGTAGTATTCTCAGTATTGATGGCATAAACATTACGTTTCTTTGAACCATAGGTTTTCTTATTACCTTGTACACCCCTCTCCTTGCTCTGACTACCACTTATGTCTCCAAACAGAACATTAGAAATCACCTTCACTTCTTGACTGACATAATCTACTAAGTCTTTGAATTGGACTGGTCTCTTTACAAGTATAGTCTGTGACGTTCTTCGCCATTTTTCGTCATCTTGTAAGGTAACTTATCCACTAACATCTTAAGGTTTCTATGGTGATCCAATTCCCTTAGATGCAATTCACCTTCCATTGCATTGTTACATTTGCTTAAGAAAAGTGAAAAGTCTTTCAGAGCCTGTTTGTCCTCAGCTTTTATGTCTGGCCAACTCTCTGCTTGCTTGGTATATGCCCTCGCTATAACATGTGAATTGTCATATTCTTCATCAAGTAATTTCCTGGCCTTTGCATAACCAAGTGCTGGATTCATGTATATACAACTATCAACTATTTCTTTCGGTTCAGCCCGTGTATACTGCTCTAGGTAGTATAATCTATCTTCAGGGTCTGATATTTTCTTCTCAATTCCATGTTTGAAAGCACGTAGGAAAGCCTTATACTTCAAACTATCTCCACAGAACGGCTCTATTATTTGTGGTGGTAATGTTACATGCTTGTTGTGATCTATTAACAATTTGGTAACTTCATTCTGTTGCTGTATTACTGCAGTCAAATCTTGGTCGCTCTGAGAACTATGACCACTATAGCTACTCCTTCCAGACTCAGACTTATTATCAATTAGTGAATGGCAGTTAGGTCCACTTAAGTTTAAAGACACTTCTTAGCCATTACCTGTATAATGTGTTTCTTTGTCAGACTTAGGGGTCTCTTCAATTGCATCACCAGATACCAATTGATGGTTTACTCTTGTTGGGTTGCATGACTGCTCTTCACCGTTGCCTTTTTGAAGCCTCTGTTTGTTTGATATATTTAAATACCTTTGCTGTTTTGGTTCTAGAACACCAGTATGTGATAGCAGTGGAATGTCAAATGGAATTGGAGATTTACAATCAAGTTCGCTGCTGTTCTCAAATTGCTCATACACTTCTATCCTAGCATTCTCTGCAGCAATCTCTGTCTTGAGATCTAAGGCTTCCAACGCTTGTTCCATTATTAATTCTTCTTGTTTTATAGTCATTGTCATTTTCACCTCCTCTTGTTTCAGTTTCATCTCTTTTTCTTCTTTTGCTTGTTTTAATGTTCCTTCTAATATCTGTCTTTCCTTCAGTACTGCCGCACGAGCAAGAAGCTCTGCTCTTTTTGCCAGGGCGCTTACCTTTGATGCACCACTCCTAACACTTGTAGCACGCGATGATGATCGGCTGACTCTTGAACCACATGTTTTACGCTTCAAATGTCCAGCTTGTGAGACACTATCCTCTGGTTTTATGTCTTCCTCACTCGAAAAATTCTGCTGTTCATTCTCACGCAGCCATGTCTGCATTTCTTGCCTATATTGATCAAACTGCACCAAGTGTGGCTGTGACCATTCAGTGT